TGGAATAGAAACAACAAATACACATACTAGTGATTTTCAATCAAGTTCGACTTCAACTAATTTTTCATTTGCTAGTGATGAAGATTATGATACAGATTTAGAAGATGATATTAATCAACATCGTGATCGTTCATGTATTGGAATGTATAAATATATTTGTAAATATGAACAAATTGTACCTGTTGGACAGTATTTAAAACATTATGATCAAAAAGAATTATTAATGCGTTATTATGGTTTAGGCTCAAGAGGTATGCGAGCATTTCTACCAAGTTTAACAGTATGTAAATATAAAATTTTAATGAATAAAAATAAAAATAAAAATAATCATGCATATATATATATATTATGTATGTTTTGTTGTTTTATATCAGATAAATACATATATAACTAAACTTGATTTAACAAGTAATGGCCTTGGTGATAAAGGTGTTATTTATTTATCACAAATTCTTCGTGATAATATTGCAATTGTTGATGTTAATCTTTCACAAAATTTTATTAGTATTGATGGTACTCGACAATTATGTGATATGTTTAAAGATAATGTAACAATTAATCATTTAAAACTTGAAGGTTAAAAAAATTTGTTGTTGTTTTTTTTTAATTTTAAAAATGATTTATTTTAAATAAATATTTTTATCTATGTAGGAAATTTATTAGATGATGAATGTGCTCGTCTATTAGCTGAACTTATTTCAGTAAGATATGAATATAAGGAGGGAAAAAAAGACATTAATGATTTTTATTTTGTTTGATTTCGTTTAGAGTACTGGACAATTATATACATTAACTTTAGCAAAAAATAAACTCGGATCAGCAAGTGGTATTTTCTTAGGTAAATCGATATAATCAATTTATAAATATTAATATAAAGTATTGTTATAATGAAGGTCAAGCTATTGCTGAAAATACAACAATGGAATCTCTTGATCTCAGTTGGAATTCAATAAATGGTAAAGGTGCTGTTGCATTAATTAAAGGAATTCAAGTAAGCATTTTTCATTATGAAATAAAATTATTTCCAAAAAAAAAAAACCATTTTCATTAAGAAAAAAAAATTACTATTAAAATCTTCAAAAATTGTTCTATCTATCTATCTATATAATTCATTAACAAATAGTATATTAATTTAATTCTATAGGAAAATATTTTTCTTAAAATATTAAATTTGGCTCATAATGGTTTATCAGGCGCTGAATGTGGTCGTGCTTGGTTCAATGCTTTCAAAGAGAATACTACACTTGTTGAACTTGACATAAGGTTATACAATTATTAACTTTTATAAAAACATATTCGAATTTATTTATATATTGATTAGTTATAATCGTTTAACAACTGAACCAGTTACATATATTGGTCGTGGTCTTGCTAAAAATGAAAATTTACAAATAATACGTGTAAGAATGAATAATATTATATCATCAAAATAAACATAAATATTTGTTTGTGTATTAATTAGTTAACAGGAAATCCACTTGAATCAGCTGGATGCTATGCTATTCTTAAACCACTTATAGGAAAAGATGCAATATCCAATAAACTTGAACTTATTGATTTAACAGTATAGAATATTTCAATAAAAATTTTGTATTATGATTTGTATTTATAGGAAATTCGATTAAATAGTGATTGTCAAGAGCTTTACTTACAAGTAAAAAGTCAACGTCCTGAACTACATATTTTAATTGGTGTGAGAATACCATCACCATTATTAAAAGATCATCATCATTCTCCACCATCACCGATCGAACGATTACGTACACTATTTCAACGTCGTCCTGAAATTAATTTATCAAATTTTTTTTATTCTATTGCTACTGGTAATGATAACATATCCGATAATCGAATAACAGATCATGCTCAATTGAAACAAGCAATTCAAGAAGTAAAATTATTGATAATTTATCATATATTTCTTGAATAATATTAATTAATTTTATTCTAATAGAAACTCAATGTTCAATTTTCTGATGCAGATATTGATAAAATTTTAAAAGAAATATCTCAATTTGATTGCAAGTATGTGCTTATCAACATATAAAGAAATTAAAAATATCAAAAGTATAGAGATTTATCAAATATATATCTCACGAATAGGACAATAGAAGATCTAAAATTTTCAGATTATTTTTTTTGTAATTAAATATCAAAGATAACTGAATTCTTGATAAAATGTAAAAATGAATAACAACAATTAACCCTTTCGGGACGGGCTTATTTTTTTTTCAAAAATTATAAGACATGAAAGTTGATAGAATCAGTTGATATCTCTATGTCTGAATATAAATATTTTTTAAATGAAACAGTTCAACAGCAAAGGCTTGTCACATTGCTTATGATCTTATGCATATCAACTGACCTTTCACTGTTGAACTCATTGATTCCTATCTATTTTTGAAGATAACGATCTGGACGCATATATATGTCTACCGTCACGAAAGGGTTAAATATGATTTTTTTATTTTCTTCATTAAGGAAATTTATACAAACTTTTGATAATAAACCATCAACAACAAGTTTATTATCATCATGGCGTTTCAAACGTTGATTAGAAGATTATTGTCTGAACTTTATTTATTGGATCTTATGACATTATATGAACATGTTTTTTTTAATTTTATAAACCTTTATAATAAAAATAAATAATAACAATTATATATATATATATTTTTTGATGTCATCGCACATGTTATTGTTTCATTGGTAATCAGATTTGTCGATGTAGCATTTTATGAGAAGTTAATTAGAATCTATGACGTCTATCAACATTTTTTTTCTTCCTTATTTCACCTTTTTATTAAAAACATAAAGAAAAACAAAAAAAAAAAGAACCGATTCACTCTCTTCTCTATACTATTTCTCAATTGAGTGGGAAAAATGATTAAATAAAGTAAAAGATAAATTTATATAATAAATCTATAAAAATTTACTTTAAGATCATTAATAATGTCAACTGAAAAAGTACTATGTCGTTTTAAGAGCTTAAAAATTCATCCAAATGAATCAAAAAGTCTTGCTCAAAATCTTCAATAAAATCTTCAATACAACTACTTTTGATTTGATAATAGAAAAACAAGGAACAATCAATGACAAATGTGAATTAAAATGTACTTGAGAAGAAGTTGATTTTATTAGATCAAATCGATCGAATTTTATAACAAGTGAACATCGATCAATTTTGGTTTACATATCAAACAAAATTAACTGAACAATTATTAGAAAATAATAAATTTATTTATTCAAAAAAATCAAACACAAAAATCATGGACAATACTTTTTAATTTCGATTCAATGATTTCCTATGATAAATGTATTGATCATATTCTTAATAATCGACATCTAGCTCGAATCAATATAAATAAAGATACATCGAAGTATTATTTTAGAAAGACAATTTCCTCAATATCGAATGCTGTTTGATTTAAACGTACTTCATACCAATATTCTTGTTAAATATGGGCATGAAAACAGCAATGAACTAATTCAAATTATGTTTATGTTCAAAGGATTACCACAGATTGAACAACGACTTGATAATAGAGATTTCATTAAGTAAAGTAAATCAATACTAACTCTATAACCAAGATTCGCAAAACAATTTCGCGATGTCTTGCGCCCTTTGGCATGCCATAGTTTTAGGATTTCCAGAAGATACGAATTATTTCAGGCGAAATGCGTTCACAAAACAAAACACGGAAGAGACAAGAGATTGTCTCGCAGATCGCTGCTCTACAATTTACTAATATACTTTTATGCCTTGAAAATTAACTTATTTTAATACTGATGTATTTAGAATTTGCAATTTATTGAAACGTAACATAGATCTTGATGTCATTGGTCAATATTCAGATTTATGGTTACAATTTGGTTGACGTACAAATGCAAAAAATTTTCTTCAACAACTTCTGACTTTCAATCATATCAAAAACAATTCGTAGGAAATTTTGTTAATTTTCAATTCTCTTTATCACCTGATGACAAAAATTTGTGTTTATCTTTGAATGATAAAAATTTTTCATCTATATTAGGCTCTTATGGCATGAAAATGCTGGAATTACTTGGTTAAAGATAAATATTTTATCGATAATAATATACAAACAAAATTCATTTCATATCATCAGAAATCATCGAATAAATTTTATGAATTATGTTATGTTTTATGGAATAATTTACAAAAAGATCATTGTTATTTTATTCGAAATGTCTTTAATTGTATATTACCTGAAAAAAAGATATCGAATTCCACATGGTATTGTTACTCCACTACGGATTTTATTTCAACCAATACATTTAACAACTGGTCATCGAGTAATGTGATAATATGATCAAAAAGAAGGATATGAATGGATGCTTGGTTATATTAAAGCTGAAGATAGTTTTAATAAAATGATTAATATTAACAGAAGTGATGAAATTAAGAATCAGTATAAGAAAATTTTCCTAAATGGTTTATGTTTGGATTCATTTGGATGCAAAGAATTAATATATTATTATTTTGCCTCATCAGGAAGTCAAATGAAGAAACAAGAATTTTGGTTTTTGGCATCTACTAAAGTCAACTCAACTAATGCTGCATTTGCAGTTAATGAAGTACGAATAGTATTAGGTGATTTAGAGAAAATCCAAAGTATTGCAACATATATTGGACGGGTCGATCTTTCTCTAACAACATCAAAGCCAATAGATGTAAGCACGAAATAAACTTGTCATATAACTGTAAAATTATTTATTTACAAAGATTAAATTAACATTTGTTCGTGAAAATTATTGGTAGTATTTAAACATTTCCTTGCGGTCTTTATTAACTATTCTCTTCCAAAGATGGATTAAATCTTCTACCAATCATATGTAATTCAAAGCATATCTTATTGTCGATCTTGAACGTAATGAATACTGTTTTACCGATGGTAAAGGTCTAGTATCATTAGATCTTACTTAAAAAAAGGTAACTATATCAATTGGAATTCGTATTAATAAAGATGTCTGTACATTCTATAATGAAATATAATTACTTTAAATTACATGATCTTCTTATATCGATGGACATACCATTTGTCTATCAAGTATGTGTTGCTGGATGTAAAGGAATGTTATCTATTGATCCTCAATCGATAATAAATGATAATTATATAAAAGTTCGAAAAAGTATGATGAAATTTGACAGTAATGATTGGACACTTGAAATTGTTGATCATTCTCAATTAAGTAAGTCAATGATGAATCTTCTGTTATTTCATATATACAGTTAAGTATAGTTTGTTTAAGTTTAAATAATCAAATTCTACATCTATTATATGATCTTAAAAAAGACAATAAAGCTGTTATTGAATCATTACAAAATCGATGTTGTGTACAAGGCAAACGGCATCCATCTGAATAAATATATTTCAATATATTTGATTCAAAATATATAGATCGTATAAAAGATGAAAGTAGACGATGTGGTTATTTAAATGCATAAGAATATTAGATTTTGCTATTGATATGACTTTTTTTTTCGATATATTGATCAAGAAAAGATTTGTTATGTCGTAACAAAATTTCATTGCCTATCGGTGAAGCTCGTTGTTTATTTGATATTGCAGATGAAACAAAATCATTACAAGAAGGTCAATGTTTTATTCAATATCAAACAATGGACAGAAAGTCTTTTAAAGTTATGAAAGGTAAGAACAATTCGAAAACGAACACATACGATAAGACTTTCGAAACATACTTTCTTTCAATTCTAATGCCTACTTAGTTCTGATATATTTAGTGTCAATTATGTGCAAGTGAGGACATAACTCGAACTAAATAACTCCGAATGTCTTGATTTTAATGTTGTTGTTTTATTTTTCTATAGGTGAAGTTTTAGTAACAAAGAATCCATGTCTTTATCCAGATGACATTCATCGTCTAGAAGCTGTTGATATTCCTACATTTCGATCATGTATTCATGATTGTATTGTATTTTCTATTCTTGGATCTCGACCATATTCAAATGAAATTGCCGGATCTGATCTTGATGGTGATCGATATTAGATTTATTAGGGAAATGAATTTAAAGTTAATAAAAGAATACCACCATTAACTTATAAGCCAACTTCGAAAAAACAAACAATACTAAAAGTTACATCCGAATTAATTGTAACTCATATTCTTGATATACTAGATGATCAAACATTTGGTATTATCAGTAATACACATTCAGTTATAGCTGACTAACATCCGGATGGTATAATATCGGTTGAGTGTAAATTTCTTGCAGAACTTTTACCTCGAGCTATTGATTCGATGAAAACTGGTGAACAAATCGATATGAAAGAGATCAACAAATTAAGAACAAAATGGTGTAATACATATCCAGCATGGATGATGAAAAATGATAAATTAAATTACAAAAGCAATTCAATTAATGAATATTTATTTAATAAAGCTCAAAATTTGCAAATCGATGAATCTGCATATAAAACTATGTATATTAAATATGATAAAATCAATAAAGATATTGCAATTTATATTGAAGAAGATGATAATAAAAACCAACACTACTATTTTTAAAGCAAAAGATTATTAGACTTCTTTCAATCTTTAATTTCATTTCGGTACTATTCATACTTGCCAATATTTATTATTAGTTTCCATCGTAAATGTTTGTTTGTTTTTTTGTTGTTGTTAGCTATATATTCTATCTTATAAAATAATAAATAAACAAGAATATTAAATCATAGATATGATATATACTTTCAATTGATATCGATATTTACATGTGATTAGTATTGTAGTTATATAAAGAGATACGATTGAAAAATTTATTCAGTGTTTGCTAAATGAAGAAAATTGATTTAATCATGTCGTGATGTTGCATGATCAACAATATTGTAATCGAATCCAATAAAAAACATAATGTATAGAGTTAATACATCTGTTTAAACACCTATAACGAACAAGTTGATATGTATTTTTTAATATTCCATCAAAAAGAAAAAAAATATGCATGTGATATCTCAGAAGTTATTTGTCTCTATATGTTTAAACTCAATATTTATAATGTGAATTTTTTTATTTTTATGAAAAATATTTTTATTCTTATTGTTTTTTTTTTATAAATATTTAGTGGATATCATTAAAATATAAATACTAAAAACTATATTTCAATGTTAGAGAATATCATATAGATTAATCAATAACAAGTTCCATTTTCATAATAAATATGTAATGAATAAGCGCAAACTAAAAGCATACTAATACCAGCTGAAAGACAAATACGAATTAATAAATGTAAATTATGTTCATTATAAGTTATTTGAAAAAAGAAAACACTAAATGTAAGAACAAATATTGAACAAACAATAAACAATTGACGATATAATTTATGAGATTTTCGTACATTTTTCAAGCACACATATATGATAAAACAAAACCCAATAGAAAATAAATTATACAATGTAATGGAATTTGACAAATTTTACTCATGTATGAATCTTTCCTTAATATATTTCCAAGTGATAATATGAATAAAATAGTTATCAAAGGAATATCAAAACCAACAATGGTTTTGATAAGATTTACTAATAGGTAATAAATACTATTGTATAAACGATGATATTCACCAGAAATAGATCGTTTATGATAAACTTCATTGATATTGGCCTTATTGGTAATTATTTTCAAATCTTGTTGCTATATGTTATAGATAATAAAACTGATGCAACAGTAGAAAATTGAACATAGAAACTTACAAGCATGGAAATGTATATAATCACAGATGAACAAAAAACAAACAAAATTCGAAGACAAATACTAAAATGAATAGAATGATATATATTATTCTCAAATCATTTTTGACACTAATAATCTTAGTAAAATATATCTTTGTGCATAAACTCGATTTTTTTTCTATTCGAATGAAATCGATGAAAAGATAAACAACGAATGACAAGACGAAAGTTTATCATAAAATAATTATTTAAAAGAAACAAAAAATATTCTTTTTTGTTGTAAAAGATTCAAATTTCATCTGAGACTTTCGTTTGAATAATTTAATCACTCACAAGAAGTAAGAAAATCTAAATAAAGTACAAAAATTTAAAACAGCTGTTGATGAGTGAAACATTTATATCTATATACTATATATATATATACGAAGTAGAATCAACAAAATAAAATAAGTGTCCAATCAAAAGCACGAAATATGCATTAGAAAAAAAAGTCACGCATGAATGAACTTCATGGGTCATGTATGATTGATATAAAAAATTGATATATCATCAATCAAAGAATATCATATTTGGAAAATTCTTATAATTATTTATTTTTAAAGATTGTTGTACAAAGAAAAAAAAAGACTTGATCAAGCGAATTTTAGTATAACAAAATTAGTAATAAAAAAAATTTTCGTAATATAATCTATAGATTAGACATTGTAGTCGGTTACCATATAACCCAATGGTAGCGTTCTTTTGAACTTTTCAATTATTTGTTGACCTACTTGCCATTCAATTGAAGTGGACGATTGCAAATTTAAAGAATACTCCAGACTATAAACGCATTTTCAAGAAATTCTTTTTTAAGATTGTTGTCATATGTCAAAACAATTCTCGTATATCAAAATAAATCCTTAATTAAAAAATCCAGCTGTCTTCAATGATTATACTTATATTCTCTTTTTTAGTTTTAATTATTAAAAGGTGCTCAAATTCAAATCGAAACATAATGCCAAATATCAGTATTAATTCTCGAAAAAGAAAACAAATAAGATTCATTCGTCAATGTAATAATGTTTCTCTAGAATCTTTTTCTGCTTCCTTGAAGCTGTTCAGTCATCAAATACATAATTAATGATTATTGTAGCAAAAAAAAACTACAGTTTTCACGAGAATAAACAATGTCAAAATACGGAAACTTATCTTAGTTAATTCAATTCAATTGAATCATTTACTATGTTTTTACGCAAATTTTATTTTTCTCGAATGGGTAACTTAGTACCTTAGAGGAACAAATATATAGTTTTTAATGTAATGACTAGAATATTTTTGGAAGTTTTATCTTTTTAGCCCTCATGCAAAATAAATACACTGATTATTTACATGAATTTTTATCAAGTCTTTTGATAAATTCTGCTGCCACTGTTATCTACGCAAACTTAACACACATTTAAACATATATATTTTTGATGAGGAATTCATTACTGTTTTATGAAACATTTTTTATCTGATAGTGATAGTAAATTCTGTGAAAATATAAAATAATAAATTCATAGATATTTTTAATTTATACAATCATTATAATCGTTTTTTTATTATTTCAGTTATGTGGCTAGAAAAAATAATAATAAGATGATTATGGTAAATAACTTCCTTGATTGATGTATTCACTATAGAAAAACATATTCCATCTCAAAAATCTCCTTATTATTAAGAACATTGCTAATCTACACACATAAAATTTCCATAGAATTATTTATATTTATTTTGTTAGTTGTGTCAGTTATAGTCATAAAATATGACTTATTCAGGAAATAATTAAAGATTGTGTAGATAAATATAGTTTATACAAATATATCTTGTATAACGATTTCTATTTTTACATATTCATCAAAAATTATAAATAACACTTACATATCAAAATAAAAACAATAGAATTCATTTCAAATCTTGTAAGATAATTATGATGAAATTTAAAAAAACCAAAAGTATTTTGTTTTTTTCTTTAATCAGTTTAAATATGAAATCATAGATTATATTTTTTTTTCGAGAAAACAAACCAAGCATAATCAATTACAAAGTCTAATAACAAACATCAAAAAAAAACAGATTTTATTTTTATTTTCACAGGATAATTGCATTCGATTAAGAAAGAAATTCTTGTAATATAAATTTGTAGACAAAAGCAAACGAAAAGCGAGGATATGCTTATTAAGATATATCAGTATAAAAAAAAAAGAAAAACAGCAACAAATGACAAGTGTACAATAGAATATGTGACAAACACAAAAAAAAAGAAATGTATTGAAAAATACTGATCTAGAAATTTTCGTTTTTTTTGTATATATATATATATATATTTAAGCTCAATATTAATCAAGTAAAAGAAGAAAAAAAGAAATCATTAATACGCAATAAACTAAGGCATTTTCGAATGATTAAGAAATGGTGCATTAAATAATGTCTTTAAGAGTATCAAATATAGGTAAATTCGTTGTTTGATGTTCGATCCCATGAAGTTGAAATGCAAGGCGTAGACATTCGTCTTCTTGTAGTTCCCTAAAAAAACAATACAAAGTAAATATAATGTAATAAATTTAATGTTTACAATTAGCCAACAGAGAGCGAAAATGATCTATTCACACGAAAAATTAGAAAAAAAAAACTAGAATGTGAGCAAAATAGAAGACAACACGTACAGATATAAAAGGGCGACAAACGTGCAAACTAGACACAAAAGAAGAATGTTTTGATCAATAAAAAAGAAAAGTTTGGGAACTAGTAATGATTTATCCTATTTAGGTTAGATATTAAACAAATATTCTCACCTTTAGAAGTTGTTGCTATAACTCCTTTGAAAAAAGAACGATTTATGAGATAAAGAAATTGATTAATATGAATAATAAACGAAATATTATCAACAAGTAGATATGAATTCAAAAGATGCATATTGTTTATAAGTATATATAATTATTTATTTTTAGTTTTTTTTTCTTCTTACCTTAGTCTCATTTGATCAAGTTCAACTGTTAAATTATTTCTCGCTTCTACTAATTTTGCAATCGTTGTTATTAATTGTTCTTCATGTTCTTTATCTTTAGCTGTTTTATGTTCATCTAAATTGATAGAAATTATTTAATTTAGAAGAAAATAATCTAAATTAACCTTTATTTTAAACTTTAATAGTAACTGAACTCAGCATTAAAAATTACAAATAAGCAAAATTTTCGGGTTCTTTGATCCCGTCATCTTTTTCTTTCCCTGCATGAAAATGTCCGGATTTGAGTGACTTTCTTCTTTCTACCCTCTCCTGAGCATATTTTATGGATGACTCCTATATACATCATAAAGTAAATAATGTGTTGCCATTTTTTAATAATTTATGATTTAGAATAAATAATTCTATGATCATCTTGCAATCTACGTCATCATTTTTTTATCACAGAGAATTTATTCAAGAGAAAAACATATAAAAAGATTTGTTGACCTCAATATGTATATTGGTATAGAAAAAAAAAATTTTTTTCGAAAATCTCTACATAAAATTTTTTCAATTTAAAAATAATTTAATATCTTGTACGATTTTCAAAAGAAAAGAGATGAAAATATTACAGTTTTATGATATGTATGATTCAATATTCTGTACTGAAATCGACTGTTATTGTAAAAGTCGTAAAAAGGTGAAAACAACACATGACATAGAATTAATTTAAATGTCTTTTCATCTTAATGATCTCTTTGTTGTTGACAGGTCATTATATTTCCGTAAAAAAATTGTCGATTGGTATTATTTATTACAATTTATAAAATTACTCTTTATTGTTGTCTACAGGCTATACTAATGAAAGCTAATAATTAAAGAAAGAAGACAGATCAAAATCTTAAGCCTTTAGGACCATTAAATAGTTGACGTAAATAAAAAAATAATTCTATAAGTTGAAAACAGTCTAAAACCTTTTAATGTTTTTTTTGCGACCTAGATGACCTATCAAAAGTCAATTAATTAATGAGCTCTATAAAAGTTCTTTGACACATATTATTTTTTTTTTCTAATAATGTTTTACTTAGTTTCCGATTAAAAAAGAGATAGGAAATTTGAAATTAGTAAAAGTGTAAATTACCTGGTAAATTAATTAATTGTCTATATTCATTTTCTGCACGTGCACGTTCATTTTCTAATGTCAAACCACGTTTAGCCATTGATAATTCTTCTTCTGTACGTTGTAACGCTGATTTTTCTCGTACAATACATAAACATTCTCTTTCCCAATAAGCTTTTTTCTTTTCATCATTTGTTGATAAATCTATTTGGTAATAGAGAAAGTTTAAACAAAAAAAAAATAATATAAAGAATAGATTTTCTTTTTTTTTTTTACTAAAGTTTTGACGTGCTATTGTATAACGTTTATCAAATTCCAAACGTTTTTGTTCAATTTCTTCAAGTTCACGTTGAATTTCTTGTGAACGACGAAAACGAACAAGTTCTTTTTGTCGTTCGTCACGTTGTCGACGACGTTCATTCGATGAACGTTTTCGTTCATCATCTAATGATTGTAATGATGATGATGATGATAAATTTAAATTTGATTGTGGTATAAGAATTTTTTTCTTTTTTCGATTTATTATTGGTACTGAATTTGTTTCATTTGATTTTAAATTTTCTGTTAATATTATTTGTGAACTTGTTATTGGTAATGGTGATGATGGACGATTTTGTCCATATCTTTTAAATCGTTGTTTACTTAAATCATTATTTGTTTGTTTAGTATTACTATTAAAATTTTCATCATTATCATTTAATTGTATAGATAAAGATTCATCAAATGTTTTACTACGAATTAATGTTTGTGAAGATTTTTGATTTGTACTATTTAAAATTGATTGATGTATATGTTCAAAACCAATATTTTGTTGTTTTTTTTTATTATCAGATATATGAATAATATTAAGAGGATGTGGTTTTGAACTTAGAGCATCTTTTAATGATGGATATAAACGAAGATTATTAGACCATTGTGTATTTGTATTAGTACGTAATTGAGTTAAATTTGGATAAATCATTTTTGATTGGGATTCTATGATTTCAAAAAATAAAATAGACAATATTGAATTGGAATATAATTCAAATAGATTTAGTTAAAAAAACAACTTAAAATACAGAATGTGACACGACAAATAATCCTAATCTTATTTAATCGTATTACAAAAAAATAATTGAATGCTTGTACTGAAGATTGTCATTCAAGGACAATGTTGAAGTTATTTAATAAGATCATATAAAAATATGAAATCTATATAATGTCAAAAATATCTCAGACAACTTGTCAAACTTTGTCTTCAACAGAAACATATTTTTCATTTTCCAAATATTAATGAACCATATCTGAAACTAAGCATTATGTAGTGAAATTCTGTCTATGTCATGTCTGTTAGTAATTTAGTAGAACATCAACTGAATAACGTTGGTTCGAGTATTACAAAAAAAAAACACAACATTTTTTAATATGGATCAACATGACCTATTATAATTCTCAAGAAACAAAATAATGAATTTCACATTCTTAAAAAAAAAAGAAAAGAAACTTTTATCACACAATTATTGGATAATAACCTTGAAATATGAATAATCAGCAGGCTATATACTATAGTTGTTCTATTTTTAATAGAGCTAATAATACCGTACATTTGAACTATCTTTTAAATACTAATATGACATTAATTGTTTATTAAAAAGAAAAAAAAAATCTGATATTTCAGATTTTAATTTCTATAACATAATCTTATTTTCATATCGAAATAAAATCCTCTTATTAACTTATCTAATGAATACATTGATGTTAGTACAAAAATAAATTCTTGAAAACAGTTTTTTTGTTTAGTATTATTCTATATTGTTATATTCTTAGTCTAAGACTTTTCATTCATTAAATCTGAATATTAAATGACAATCAAAGTATATCGAAATAATAAAAAAAAAACCTAATCAATTATTCTCAAGAAATTCTATAGAACAAAACAAAAAGAAAGAAAGACAAGAGTATTAATTTCAAACCTTGTTGAGTTGCTGCTGCTAATGTTGTTGTTACTTGTTTAAGACGACTTTTACAAAAATGTAATGTACAATAAAAATTATATGTACCATCCGTTGTTAAATCATAATAACTATATTCATTTTCTTTTAATTGTTTTTCACATGAATAACAACATAAACATGTTTTATGATAACATTGTTTTCCTATTTCAATAGTTGATGTATTATCATATGTTGAACCACCACAAACAGGACAAGGTGCACGAAAATATGACTAAAAGAAATTTTAAATAGAAAACTTCAATAGGAATGTTATGCATTAGTATAAATATTGAACAATGAGTTATCGACAACAAGTCCACTGAGAACATTGATTACACTGACATTCGTGTTCGCTACAAACTAACTCTATCAAAATATCTCAGTTTTTTTTTGTTACATTGATGGTAATGTATCAGTTTGTGCATGTAGTCAGTATGCACACTGAGTACACAGAGTCCGTGACGTCGATGGTTAGTAAATTGACCTGCACATCTGTAGACTTGAGTAAGAAAATCTCTGATACTCTGTTAACCTATTAAATTACAACAGGTGACGTGACAATAACAACATCCTATCAGATGAATGATGAGGTATCTGAGGGTTCATAAATAAATTTCATTTAAAAAATCACGAATTTTAGATTAACTTACATATGTTATCGTATCTGATTTTTTTGATGTCAATACTTGTTGATTGATTGGTGATATTGATGATGGTGAAAGATCAACAGGCGATGGAGATTCTGATTGAATATGACCAGAATCTAATTGAATAAAAAAATTTTTTTTCAATGATTAAAATTTAATTTTGATTTAAATTTTTTTTACCAATACTTATATATTGTTTTCGTTCAGCAAATATTTGTTTATCATGAAGTCGTTTAAATATATCTGTGATTGAATTACTTTTTGACTTATTTAATTTAAGCCTATAATTTAATGAAAATTAAAACAATTTATGGATTATATGATAAAATAAAAATGCGTAGATAATCTGTCTAGCTTTTTTTTTACATCACGCAATGTTCTAATCAATTTGTTTTTGTTAAAAATTAACATATGAAAGCAAAAGAAATCAAATCACTACACTATGCATGTTTATTTCATTCATACATCTTGGCACAAACTGCTTTCTTTTGTTTAGATAGAAAATTAACATGCAGAAACAACAGGTTTTATCAACCATCAAACATATTTTTTCCATGTTTTCTTTAGTTCTGTTCAAATTTATATAGATAATTTAATTGATGAAAATATAACCGAAAAAAAGCAAAAGTTTCTATTGCGTTATTGTCTTCGTTGATGTGGTTGAAATATAATATCTCATTAAAAGAATAAAAAATAACAAATATAAAAACTTACACTGAGTCATCATCTACATTGTTTCTTTCTTCTTCTTCGTTTTCCGATTCATCATCAACATCAACATCATCATCAACTGCTTCTTCATCAGTTGTTTCTTTTGATGAAGAACTGCTTGAATTACCATTGGTTCTTGCTGATGCTTGTTCATCATCATCATCATCATCATCATCATCATCATCATTATTGTTATCGTTTCTGTGAATTAAAATGAATATGTTTTAGGCAATAAGAATCTAAATGATCATGAAAAGACTCACATTATATTTGATGCCGAACTATAAACAATTTCCTCTTTATCATCATCAGGAAATTCTTTGTCTAAACTAAATGAAACACGTTCATCAGCTGTTGTGTTATCTAAATGCCGAGTTGGATATATTTGTTGGTTTTTAGCAATGTTTGTTTCATCAAATGATAATGAACGTTTGTTTTGCTCAAGGCCTATTAAATATAGTAAACGTTTTTAAGATTTTCTTTTTTTTTTTCTTTTTGTTTATCTAGTTCCAATTTTAAATGCCCTTGTTCGAGATTAATTTCTTTTTTGATCTCTGATGGTACACATAAAAAATTTAACAGTGTTAAGTATTGATTAATAAGAGACAGTTCTTTTGCTACATTATTGAACCGAAAGGCTTATATTTATAGTTGAATGAAAGTAAAAAGACTTGGGATAAAAAGAAAAAAAAAGGAAGGAAGACGAGAAGAAGAAGAACAAACTCATTCGTTTTTTTTCTATTTTTTTTTCCTATCACGTCATTTCTTTCTTTATTCAAACTATAGTAGTATCTAGATAGACAGTGACGGAAGCAAAATACGACAACAATAAGTGCGCATAATGGATGGTAATATACATAATGCAACAAGAGAACTCGTACGAGCCATACTGGCTATTACTCATGATCAACGACATTCCACTAGTGTACAATCAATATGTCAGTATATTCATTGTTCATTTTCTCTCAACGATTATGATGATCATAATAATACATGTCGTGTTACATCAGCAATATCAACATCTGATGAAATTGGAAAAGAAAATCTTAATTCTATAATTGCAAAATATATTCATTTATATATTTATCCATTATTTATTTTCATGGGTATATTTGGTAATAAATTATCATGTCTTATTATGTTTATTAATGCTCGTCGTAGTGGTTATCCATCTAGTCTTTATTTAACATTATTAGCATTGGTTGATTGTTTATTTTTATTAATTAGTGCATTACCTAATTGGATATCACAAATAAATAATAAATTTGATATAAGATTTTTATCAGATTTTTCATGTCGCTTGGTTTATTTCTTTGGAAATTTTACAACACATTTATCGGCTGGTCTTGTTGTTGGTGTTACTGTTGAACGCTTTATTGCTGTACAATATCCATTGATTGCACATAAAATTAATAATGTTACACATACACGTATTGTATTAGCTATTTTAATTATATTTTTCTTTGTACTTGATACTCCAGTATTAACATTTGTTAAACATACAAAGGAAAATATTCATATTGTATCAGTATGTCAGAATGATACATCTTTTAGCTATGAAAGACGTGACGTGATTCGATGTGATGTAACAGGTAAACGTTATGAACAAAAATGGGTTTATATTGATTTTGCAGTTTATAATTTTATACCATTTTTAATAATTATTACACTTAATTCATTAATTATTCGTCGATTAATTGATGCACAACGATTTCGACAACGTATGTTTCGATTTAGTAATTATCCTTCAAGACAAAATCAACAAGATATAAAACACCGACATTATTCTCAAAATCATCAAACTATTGAAATGAATGAAAATCAACATCGTCATTTTCGGCGTTTTCCCTCTGTTTCAGAAGCAAAACCATTAGTTATTCTGTTACATCCACAATCGAGTAAGTTATTTATTTTTTTCTATTCAAATTTTTTGTTTCTGTAATTAGGTCAATCAGAAGAACGGCGTTTACATTATAGTACTAAAATATCAAGCACATCAACTGAATTATCAACAACATCATTTGAAATGAAAAATCGTTCACGTTATCAACATGAAATTTCATGTATACGTCATAAATCAATAAATACATCAAATTCAAATCATACACGTTTAACAATATTATTATTATTTGTTTCATGTTCATTTTTAGTTTTAACATTACCAGTTGTTGTTTTTGATTTAATTATATCAACAAAATTACATACAAGATCATCAACACTTTATAATAATTATCTAAATTCAATAACAACTGACAATACTGATTCTGACATATTTCTTTTTTATACACTTGCACGTTTATTAATGATTATAAATCATTCAGTAAATTTTATTTTTTATTTTGTTCTTGGTAAACGTTTTCGTCATGATTTAAAACAATTATTTATTGGTTATTGGAGAAGATTATATCGATGAAAATATAAGAATAAATAAAAAAGAAAAAGAATAACATTATACTTACCAAGTTCTAATGGATTATTACTATTCTCATCCTTTCAAAAAAATAATAAAATATGTAAATGAAAAAAAATCTATATTTTTTGTTTTGTTTTGTGTTTTACTTTTTGTTGTTTATTTAAATTGTGATATCGACAATGAAATGATATTTTGCCTGTATGTGGTTCAATCAATACTTGATAATTTGTTTTTCGTAATTGTAAATGACACGTATCACATTTAAAACATTTTACATGTAAAACATTTTTTTCAACAACAAACCAATCTTGTATTGAAACTTTTTCTTTACAATAAAAACAAAATGTTGGTGCACGTTCGGATTGTAAATTAATTAAATTATAATTCTAAAGGAAAAGAAAAATGTTCTTTTTTTCTTTTTAAAAATTACATTTATAATGAAAAATTCACGCATCATAGAAATTTTATGATGCATAAATAAATATGAAAAGAAGATTATTAATGTATTATTGAGGCAAAATAATAGTAAAGATTTACACCTCGTCATTCATCGATCGTCTAAACTCCTAGAAAAAGAAACTAAAGACATTTGTCACATGTTTTTCTATGGGTCATTACAGCTGCTGCTAAAAAAAATATATTTCCAGACTGTAAAGAATACAAAAAACAAAAGTAATCTTTATGCCTATGAAGTATACGCATTCCACTTCGATATCAATTATAAAACCATATTTTTATATTATATTCAAACTGTCTGCGCAAAAACTGTTTGCCTTCTTCGATAACTATGCTAATATTCTAAGATCAATCAACACCTACATTAGCTGATGATGATGTATCACCATTTGAATAATGAGCAACAAGAGCGCTGACTTTAACTGTTGAATTATTATTATTATTATTATTATTAGTTGTATTTGTATTTATATTATTGGTATTGTCTATTGGTTTTTTTGATTTTTGTAATGTTGGTGATGAAATTTCAAGTGATGGAGTACTTGATCGACGTTGTTTTAATTGTTGTTCATGATGATCATGATGAAAATGTGTATATAATAATTGAAGAATAACAATTGATGATTGACGTATACGTTCTTCAATTGAACTTTTCATTGATAAAATAAGACTATTTTGTAATTTACGATCAAGTGGTAATGACAATTGATTATGCATTATATCGAATAACTTAACAAACAAAATGATTTTATTTATCAATCGAAAAAAGTAAAACATACAATTTGAAAATTACTAATTGGACGATCAGGTTGAAGTGATTTGAAATTACTAGAAATAAAAGAAAAACAATATATAAAAGAATTTTATTTTATTTTTTTGTACATACATTAAATCAGGTCGATAATAATGTACAATAGCACAAAATGCAAGACAATTTTGAAATGATTTTGAGTTATTTTTGATATTAATATTATAAGAATTAACAATTTCTTCACACCATTCAAATACAGTTTCTTGTTGATTGTTTCCTTCAAAAATAAAAAACAAAAAGTAAATTTGAAATAATTTCTTCGTTTTAATATTCACTTACCATCTGATGATGATGATGATAATGATAATGGTGAGGGAGCTTGTTTAAAACTTTGTGTACGTCGAGTAGGTGTTCGATTAGATTTATTTGATATTACATGATTATTATTCATATCAATTGTTGGTATACTATCGGAATCATATAAATATCGAATTTCATCAATTGTACAGCTTTTGGAATTTGAATTTTGATATCGTGTTGCTGGATTTATTGAATATAACTGATGATTATTTTTCGTATTTTCAGGTGTACTTTGGGATAATAACATATATATACTTTCACGTTCAACAAGAACTTTAAGTGGATGTTCATGTTTAGCAAATTTTAATATAGACCATGCTGTATCAAATAAACCAAAAAATCCAAGACCAATACCAGAACCAGTTGGCCAAAAACTCTAGATATATAATAATATATAAATTAAAAAAAAATTTATTTCAATTAATTTACTTCAAGTAAACTATCACCAACAAGTAACATTAAAATTTGTTTACCATTACGTTCAATAATACGTGAAGCATTAACAGCATGAAATAATGATGTAAAATCAAACATTTGTACATCGGCTGCACCATGATGATCTTCCTATTATATAGAAAATTAAAATATGATATAGAACAAATTTATTTGAGAATTCTTTTGCTAATAAAATTTTATACCAGGTATGACAAAAGTTTTGCGATATTTAAAAAAGTCCTTGTGTGCCATTGCTTTGTTGCAATAACTCGTTTATTTTATATTATTTTAGTAGATATTAACATCCCTCATCGCTCTGATAGGTTGTTATTTTTTTTTATACCTTTTTGTTTTTTTTACTGTTTTTTTGGTTGATTTCTAAATAGTTAAAAGTGACGATCTACGAGATATAGCTATTTCCCACTATGAAAATGGGAAAAAAACACCAGAAATTGCAAAATTATTGGTAAATAAGCCCAGGTCAAAAGTCAGCCATCGGATTCTGTCGGATCTGTTTCAATCCGATGAATTCCGATGACTGAATCCGATCGAATTCCGATCGAATCTTAGTTGATGTGCATAATTTCCGATGTATTCCGATTACCGGTTCCGAGCAGGTAGTGGTCGGATTACAGTGCACCATGAAATCTGTATAAAAATTCTGTCTAGTAGAATGTTGTTGTAGATTCCGTAGAAAGTCAGCTAAGGCATGCAACAAATTGTGTCGGATGCAGAAACATTGTTACAAAATGGTTATCAGTCTTCAATTTTTCATATGCCTGGTCGAATATAAATAACAGTTAATAAAGATCAGGTGAGTTACCACATATAACAGTTTAAGTGGAATCGCAAAAGGCACTGCTTTGATTCTGTAGCTCGAAGGCTACAGAAATAAGGATAAAGGTATGATGGAGAAGAGTAAAAGATATAGATATAAGGATATGAGCTCGTCATAAGGGTATAATTCTGACGATATAATGATCACGCTAAACATATCGAGGTTTAGGTTGGAGGGAAGAAGCATCGGGATATAGGCATTCATGAGCACTTTTAAGGCTATAGTCATAACGGTTTAGACATTAGGATATAGCCATCTATATATATTGCTCAGTGTGTCTGTGTCTCTGTCTGTGCTGAGTTAAAAGTTAAAGGTCAAAGATTAAATAAGCCTCTAAGGGAAGGCTACAAGGGCCGTTCTACGGCGCTACCCATGGGTCGTCAAAAGCTATCTTATGGAGGTATCCATAGGTCCTCATGGGCAATCCCATGCGGGTACGCATAGGCCCTGAAAGGCGTAAGGTAGTAAGGGGTA